TCGACACCTTTCCTCATCACCAGAAGGTTGGACAGTTCTGCATCACGCATTAAAAAAATGATACAAGAAAATAAATATCCTACAGCACTAGGCACAGAGGCTACATCTGCACTACATCACTGTTGCTATGTTTTCAGCGTGAGAACTCTGGGGGTGTGTGGTAATATGGATCGTCACCCGCATTCTCTTCCTGATTGGTTCTCCTCAGTCAGACTCAACTACCAGCCAAAACTTGAACACTTACAGTTCCATCTCGTCTTCTGTACAAGAAAACAAATCCCTCGCCTTACTCTTTACCCTTGTTGTTTCTAGTTCATAGTATTTTCTATGAGTCAGCAACCGACTGCTGTGGACAATCTGCTTCCTGTTCACAATGGAACTCACATTCCCAGTGTACGTTAATGGTTGTTAACAGAGCCAAAATGCTCAACTACAGAGGTCATTTTGATTTTAAAATGAAAACGTATTAATATGGAGGTAGCCTGAGTTGCAGGATGATCTTCAAAATACACTGGAGGATGTTTGAATAAAGCAAAAGATGTCCAAAATAGAGATGTCCAACAGGCACAAACCTGCTTGTCTTGGCAAACAGCATTTCTTCACAGTGAAGCTGTCTGGTCCAGACTTGAGCATGAAGGACTTGAGGCTCTCTGTGAGCTCCTTCACACTGGAGAACTCTTGGTCCCAGCCCTCCAGACAGAACATCGACTCCTTGTGCTGGATCCGAAACTGCTTGTGGCTCAGTCTCGATCCGTCCTGTGAGCCATGCATGAACACAAGTGTACACACACAGGCACTGAAAACCTTCACCACCACTGCACTTCCACAACAATTCCCAGGGAGGAGAGTGGGTGTTGACTTACTTTATCTTTGTTTAGCACAGCCAGAATGAGGCGGCGATAGTCCAGAGCACTCCAACGTACAAGGAAAGCTCCCTCTTCTGCTGCCTCTTTCTTCAGCTTCAGCAGCACAAAATCATCACTGGAAACACACCAGAGCTTGTGATATAACGCAACGTGTCTCTTTATAGCCCGTTTGTGTCTGTGTATGCATGTGCAAGAGGGAAAAACTCACTGCATAGGTCCATGCAGTCCATTTGCTTCACTCAGCACTACCCTTGGGGGAGCCACTTCATGACAAAGATAGTGGTGGGCGTCTGCAGTCAGCCGGTAGTATCCATCCAGGAGTGAGATGAAGGAACGCGCCTCCTGGCTGGAGTTCATCTGAACCACCTACATACACATACAGAAAAACACCACTAGCTTACAATCAGAGCTCCCACCTACAGACACATGCACATTCAAAACATAATACCATTCCCTGAGTGCAACCAGAACCCAAAGCACAACACATGAGAAATCAAGGCACTCGTGCTTTTTGTACAATACATTCAGACACTTTAAGGACTGAACAATCTGACCAGTAGAATGAGAAATATACAGTATATCAATTAGACTAATGCATCACAAGCACATTTACCAATTATATTAATGCATCAAGGCTTTTGCTTTTACATAAAAGGAGTAAACCAGTGATCTCACCATGCACCGATTGTCCTGAGTGCTAATGCACACATTAGCGCCACTGAGGGAGATGTGTGTTATTTCAGGGAAATCGGAGAAGAAGCTCAGAGTGTTGGGAGTGGTTGCATCTGACTGGCTGGACTGGTTTTTGGATTTCTTCATGCTCAAGTAATCACTCCGGAAGTAACCATTTACCTGTGCCTGCGGATTAGAGACTGAATGAATATTAAGCCCACACAACATGTGACAAAAACAAGCCTGTCAGAGGCTTTAAATTACATGTTGCCAAACCTTCTGAACGGACACCTTCCTCCAGTGAATCCCCTTGGTGCCGGACACCATTATTTCATGCGTGATGGGAGCTGTGAAGTTGTCTTTTGAATCGCCCTGTGCATGGTAAGAGCTGCCTCCGTCCCCGTCCTCCCTCAGCTCCAGGTGGGACACGGGGAAGGTCTCTGTGCCAAACCGTGGCACCAGGTGTTCAAGAGTAGAGATGTACTTGTACATGATGTCCTGTGTGCCCAGCCGCCCCTCGTCCACAGTGTGTTGCTGGAAGGTCTGCACAAAGTCTGCAAACACCCGATTGATCCTGATTTTAGTCAGGAAGTTGTCTTTGGAAATTTGTTTGGAGAAAGACTTTGGGATGCAGCGTAGGAAGCTGGAGAAAGAAAAGATAAGTTAATGTCATCTGCGTCGCTATTAAATTAGATAGGAGGATGGTTTTGGGATCCAAAGGAGAACATGGGTTGTCACAGCAGCAGAAGATATGAGAAATAAGACATAAAAGGAGACAAGTGAAAATAACTTGAAATAATTTAACAAATGTATATATTGAAGTGCCTTTAGTTTTTGTTACTGTCTAATTGCTTTTGCTTTAAAACATCACGTGACTTCTGCCGTATTCATTCCCTCCCAGTAATTACCAGACTTTCTCTGCGACTTCTTGTAACGTGCAGCCTGTTTGCATCGCCTGGTGCGAGAGGTGAAGCACAGCCATCCCCAAGCTCTCATTTTTGAAGCGACTTAGCTCCTCTTCCGACTGGATGTCTTCCATCTGCATCACTTCATTCACAAATTCATATTTAGCCTTTTGGAGACACAGGAGACAAAGAGGTTAGCGTCATATACTTCATCACCACATTTACAGTATGTGCTTTGAACTAATATGGAGTAAACTAAAGAACAAACCTGAGAGAATAAATACTCCAGGGATGTGAAGTCAAGCAGAAGTGAATTCCCCTGGTTGCTCCCAGATCGGAGACGATAGCGGCACACAACTGGCTCTTTCTCATATAGTCCATGCCAATTGTGAAAGTAAAACCTTAGCACAAGGAAACATGACATGGTTTTGTTTGTGAAATCAGTGAGTTACATCTGCCAGGAAATAAAGTGTTACACAAACATGGACCAACCTCATACTGTAATGAAGTACTAGACTGGAGTCTTCCTCTGGATTGAAGATGTGGTTTGGACTGTACCAGCAGCTTGAGAGTGGATTGTACAGAGCAAACAACACATGGCACAGAGGTGTTATCCCTGTGGAACAAAAACACAGAGTGAGCAGGGATGCCAAAGGGCCCAGGCCAAGATAGCTGACCATATGAAAAAGAAACTTTCATCCAGATCCGTGTGGGTGTGTTCAGTCAAGGTTGTCCTCCCCCTCACCTACAGCCTCAGCGGCTGAGATGCACAGCTCCTCCGCTGTGACCTCTCCACTCGTGTGAGACAAATATCTCTCCCCCTCTTTGGTCCAGAGGAGGAATACATGAACGCCTTTACCCTGAGGAGGCTCAGCCTGCCCTGGAAACTGGCCTGACTTGGACCGCCTGGACCACCACCTCCTAGACATGGTGGGGGTGAGCCACGTCACTGACACACACACACACACACACACACACACACACACACACACACACACACACACACACACACACA